AAATAACGCGCGCTCTGATTGGCTGACGACCGTGTTTATATCAGAGGACAGAGACACGGCTTACCGGCAAAATTTGTTTTTCGCTCGAAGTCGTTTCAACATAAACAGTCGCTATCAAGACATTACACGAAAAACCCTAGTCACCGTTCTAGCTCTCGTTGTAAGGTCAAAGCTAGTATAATATGTAACCGACCTCTTACATAACGTCAACCTGTTGTATCGTCGAGCACGCTTGCGGGTTATTGCCAAAAATGCGACAAAGGATGAACTACGACAGTTGTCACTACCAAAAATAACAAACACTTTAAATTGGAATACGTGGAGCTAAGCTGCTCTAGCTCTTTCAGTGTATGTTGTAGATACCTCAAAGCTTACAGGAAACAAGAGCTAAGAAAAACGATTTGCAATGGTTCCTCCATAAGATACTTTGGACTTGAACGTCGCTTCAACGACCTTCTGAAGTCTTCGTGAAGTCGGCCATTGCTTCGCATGCAATGGAGAACCCGCGTAGAACACAGACCAATTATTTTTGTCAGGGAGGGTAGTCTCTTGGTATTAAAGAAAACATTATTTGTTATTTCATTTTTAAGATAAAATTGTATTTCTATAACGATAAATATTTGATTGACATTTAATAAAAGCTATTTTATAAAGATTTGCAATTTCCCTTTGYGTTTTAGCTTTGATTTTTCGATAGAATAAAATGGCAGGCAACCTACTCCACTGGGTCGAGTTTTGCTGTGCAAATTCCTCCCGTCGGRGGRTTRTGTTTACAACATAAGCTTGTCAGCTTTGCGCTGATTGGCTAGTCGCATTTTCTCAAATCACCCAGCTTAGTCATAGAACAATATACTAACATTTTATAAYTTAAAATTATTCTCAGCGTTGCCAATATGTGAGGGGTGTGCYACGTCACAATGTCCTGGCTCCCGGACTTCAACATGTTGTGCAGTCTCCCTTTGCGCTGATTGGCTGCTTTCCTCTAGGAATCAACTAGAAAATACCATATAACAGAAATGGAGAAAAYAAATTGAGAACTTAGTTAAAATAGTGTAGTGCAGCAAAAACAAAAACATTTAAACGAATTGATCCTATCATGAAATTAATGTGAATATTATTTTGTTCATTTAGTTATGATGTAATGCTTCACTGTTGGCACAGCAACCCAAGAATACGCCCAACATTCGATGAACTCTGTAACAAGATGGAGGGCCTTCTTGCACCTTACGCATAAAATAACTAATACTTATACTGTCATCAGCTCAGTCATGTTTGTGATTCAAAAAATTCAGTATAACAGCATTACTTATGATTGGAGTTTTAATATTGAATCATCTTGCTATAATAATCACAGTCGGCATTAGAGTGAATAACGCTGTTTTCCCATCATATTTTTTTATCGCTGCAAGTTTGTTTACTGTCTCGCTCTGTTTGCATTAAGTGCAAAAATCAATGATTTCAATCCCTAAATACTACCAGGACTTCCGCTCCCTTTTATATTTGAATTCCAACAGCCAGGCATGCATTGGATATCACAGGAAGCCCAAACAATGATGATTAAAAGTATTGAATAAAAATGTGTTACTTATTTGATGTATTGAAATGTTAGGTTACATGAATTGTCCTATTCTTTAGTGAAGAAGTGTTTTTAACACATTATCAT